CAAGAAAAATTCACATCAGAAATATACACGGCTATAATAGCTTTTCAAAACAGCCTCTGTGTGACTAATTTGGATAAATAAGCATTTGTGGATATGCTTGTGATTCATCTCATTATAGTGAGATTCCATGTGAACCACAAGGTCTTCTCAGCAGGAGCAAGTTTTGATCTGAGTGCCTACAATGCAGAAGGCTTTGTATTCAAAATCACCTTTAGCACAGTAGAAATTTGAAAATGTCAGGTCCAGGCACCATTTTATCTAGTGCTAAGATTCCCACTGATTTTTGTACAGTCTGGATTTGATGCAGTACTTACATAGGACCAGGCTCTTTTCTGTTTCTCACCCCACCCAGCCAGAGAGGAGGCTGGGGAAAGGACACCACCAGGACAGCTGACCCCAGCTGACCCAAGAGATATTCCAGACCACATCAGTATGTGAAGTGGAGGCAGAAAGAGGAAGTGAGGGACATTTGGAGTGATGGAATTTGTCTTTCCAAGTCACCATCACCTGTAATAGGGCCCTGGTCTGCTGGAGAGGGATGAACACCTGCCTGCCCATGGGAAGCAGTAAACTAATTCCTTGTTTTTCTTTCCTTGTGTATGTGGCTTTTGCTTTACCTTTCTCTTTACCTTTTGCTGTACATTTTACATGGTCTTTATCTCTACCCATGCATTTATTTTTAACTCTGATTTCCTCCCTTATGCCACCAGAAAGTCAGGAAGGAAGAGGAGAAATGGGAAGAGCAGAATGAGCCAGTGGCTGTTGGGAGCTTCATTTCTGGCTGATTTGAAACCATTTAAACCCTTCTTTCTTTCAAAAGCATAAATCCAAACCACTGCACTGTACTAATAGCTAGGAAGAAAACTAACATTAATGCAGCCAAAAAAACAGGGCACCTGAGATAAATGAACAATTTCATATGCCTCAGAAAGTCCTTTAGTACTTCAGAAAGAAATCTGGTGCAGTGCTGCTCTATAAAGCTGCTCTACAGTAATAGAGATCTTTAATACTAAATAAAACAACATGCTGGCATGGATTTGAATGCTCTCATGCACATGGTTATCTGCTAGAGATCACCAGTCAAAGTCAGAAATCAATTGTGAAAGAAATAAGGAGCTCTGAAAACCTCTGAGGAGTAGTGGCTAATTAGTAGTTTTCAGGTCTCTATTCCTAAGCACTTATGATTGTACCTTGTCCCTCTCATGACCACTCTCAAACTCAACATTCTACAGAACACACACACACACACACACACACACACATTCATTAAGTGAAAGGACTCAGAACCTCCCAAAGAGAAAGAGACAAACCACAAACTCAGATGCTGCTGCTGTTCTGAAACTTAAATTATTCTAAATAACCCAATCCTAAATATTCAGCACCTTACAGGTATTTTTTTGTTGACAGTCTTCCAATTACTGACTAACGAAGAAGGCATTCTTTTTAAAATACTTGTTCAAATCTGTCTTTCAAGGAAAGAACTGATTATCATGCATAATACCCCTTAGTGAACACAGCGATTTACTTTTAATGGGAGGCAAACATTTAATTAGATTGGTATATATGGATCCTCAGGTGTATAGTTGATACAGTTTCTTACAAACTTGTTCAGTGTGTGTCAACAAAGGTCTGCACTGAAAGTTTTACAATAATTTATATTTTTGGCACTCAGAGCTGAGTTTGCTGTGACATGGAAACAATTCAGAAAGCACAATCAGTATGTGAATGCATTGGGTCTGGTTGACATGGAGCTGACCTTCTTCACAGCAGCCCACAAGTATTACTCATGACAAAGCCCTGCTTTTCTGGAAGCAGCTAAACAGCTCCTGGAAGTCGCAAGTGAATTCCTCTTTTTGATTTGCACTGCCCCAACATCTGTTTTTTACTTAATATTTTACTTTAAGGCTTAGGTTTAGATTTATGGTTGGGTCACAATTTGCTGTCTCTATTAAGCTGTAATTATCTCACAAGTCTCCTTGCCTTTCTTCTTCCTCTTCCCATACTGCAGAGCAAGCAGCTAGCAACCAGCTGTGTGAGCATTTGGTTCTTAGTTATAGCTGGTCCACCATGGTAAATGAGCAGGTGACTTTTGAGAAGGAATTCATTAGAGGAAGGCAGACTTTTCTTTTTTACCTACACCTTTTTTTTTTCTTTTTTTTTTTTCCCCTTTTTTGCTCACTAAAGAGAAAACTAAAAATTGTGTTGGTCATGACACACATCTCCATGTCCTCTCAACTAGCAGCAGGGGTGCAGGTGTGCTCCTGGGAAGCTGCTGTGGAAAATGAGAGCTCTCAGTTAAATGTCATTTGCTGGCAGTACTTTTTCATTTTCGGGCTTCTTTCTCTCTCAGCAACCCTACACCAGATTCTCCAAGATTTCTGGGGAAATTAATGAGTTGACCTTATTCTAACTAAATGTAATAATTTGATTTGTATAACTTATTGTTTGTGCAGTGTTCAGTTGGTTGGTTTGGGTTTTATTTTATTTGTGTGCACATGTTCTAATTAATAAAATATTCACATTACGAGAGGTCAACATACAGTATGAGGTCAGTAGCTCTGACTTTTGGAGACTCAGCACTTACCTACTTGTGTTACTGAAGCTGCAGGTGGGTTAGCCATGTTGGCAAGTACAGCCTTTTAAGCTTTTCCTAAAAACGGACTTCACATAAAAAAGCAGGATTTCCAGCTCAGGTATCTGTCCTTGATTCCAACCTCCTTCCCTCAGGAGCTCGCTAGAAGTGTAGATGGTCTGGGTGGCAGCTCAGTGCACAGATCAAGGGGAGCCTCATCCCTGTGAAATAAAAGCTGGGCAGACAGCTCTGGGGGCTGAAAGCAAAGCCCTTTCGAGATACCCAGCCTGGTGTATCACCGAGCAGTGTGAAGCTAACTTGCAAGCGAACTTTTTCACTTTGTTAGAGTGACACCTGGTGTTGCAAGGTAGCTTTTTCGAGAGAGAAACGTGAGGACGTCGGTACAAGCAGCAATAGAAAGGCCTGTACTTTGGCTCTGACAAACAAATGTTCCAGTTTGCAAACACAGGGGGTTTGCAAACACAGTACTGCTTTCTTCGTTCTACACTTAGTAAGTGAGAAAAAAAAAAAAAGTTCTGTGACTACGTGCATCTCTAGATGATTTATGATTGCATTATACTCTGGAGCAAAAACTATCACATAGATTTGGGGGCCTTCTCTACAATGAAACAGCAAAGCAGTCCTCTAAATGTAAATGAAAAAATTCAAACCTAATTCTTCATTAAAGTGTGTCAAACATGAAGACCATAGGGCTATCTTGATGTCAAATCAATCAGGGAAGATATATTTAACTACCAGTATAGTATACTCAAGATCAGTAAATCAAGCTCCCTTGTAACATCATTTACCTTTAAGAAGGAGCACAGCATTCTGTCCTAGTTTCAGCTGGGGTAGAATTAATTTTCTTTACAGTGGCTGTCATGGGGCTGATTTGGGTTTGTACTGAACACAGGGTTGATAACACAGAGATGATTGTCATTTCTGAGCAGAGGTTACACAGAGTCAAGGCCCCTTCTGCTCTTCATTCTGCCACAGTGGTAAGGTAGGGGTGCATGGAAGACTGGGAGGAAACATAGCCAGAACAGGTGGCACAAACTGACATCCCCAAAAGGGATGTTCCAGACCATCATCCTCAGTACATAAAGTAGGAGGAAGAAGGAGAAAGGCAGGATATTTGGATTGATGGTGTTTGTCTTCCTAAATCATCATCATAGGTGATGGGACCCTGCTCTCCTGGAGATGGCTGAACACTGGCCTGCCTGTGGGGAGCAGTCAAGTCATTCCTCACTTGGCTTTGCCTGTGTGTGTGAGTTTTGCTTTCCCTATCAAGCTGTCTTTATCTCACCCCACGAGTTTCCTAGCCTTTTGCCTTCTGTTTCTCTCCCCAGTCCTGTGGGTGGGGCAGTGAGTAAGCAGCTGCCTGGGGCTTGACTGCTGGCTCAGGTTGAGCCACAACACATTCCCCTGATGCAGACAAACAAAACACAGAGCTACGGCTATTAAGCAGTAGCTCTGTGCAGAACAACACTCAACGGGATAGCTAATGTTAAAATGCTTTAATATAAAGAAAACCAAAACACTTCCTGAACCCCCTGAAAAATCCCAAACAAAATCTCACTAAAAGGTTTATCAAATTACAAAGGTAAAGCAGTGATAATTGTGTTTTGTCACTGTGAAGGTCTAGCTTCAGTTCTACGAGTGGGTTTCTTAATCTGAATCACTCTTTTTTAGGAAGGAACAAGTACCAAATGGTAATTACCGTCCTTTGTAATGTCTCCTTTAAATTGCTTTCATTTCTACAAAAATTAAGCTATTTCAAACAGCAACAAGGTATTTAATTCCTTGGAACCTGCTGAAAACCACATTTGACATGCTGGGAGGCAAGAAACACCAACATGTTTTCAGGCTAATTATGATAAAGCTCTAGGTTTATTATACGGAATAATTTCCATGCACATTACAGTGGCAGCTGAAGACTACAGAGATGAAGAGAGGCAGGTGCAGGCTGTGTGAACTTCTGTACTTTCACACTTACAAAAAGTTGTTTTCTGCCACACCCTCTTCCCCTTCTTCCCACCTTCCCCCCACCCTCTGCCCCTAAATGGCATTTTGGACAAACTTGGCTGCACAGCCCTGCTTGACACCATCAGATATTTGACAGAGGCCCTTTTCTCCATTTAAAGACTAAACCATATGTATTACCATTCCTCTAGAACCACACACTGTTCTCATTAATGGCACACATTAGTGGCAAGGGAAAAGAATGCACAACAGGATTCATTCTGAGTGTCCTGGGTAAGTGCTACAGCAGGGGAGGGGGGGATGTTATTGTTTTGATTGCTTGTTTTTGGGTTTGTTTGGTTTTGTTTGGATTTTTTGTTTTGGTTTTGGTTTTGTTTGTTTGTTGTTTGTTTTGGGTTTCATTTTGTTTCATTTCAGGTATTGTTTTTTGGTTTTTTGGGTTTGTTTTTTTGGGGGGAGTGTGTATGATGTGATTTTTTTGAAGTAACATAGACAGCCTCTACCTGTACTTGGTCCTGTAGACCTTAGGTGCAATCATGAGGATGAGAAAGAAGCAACTAGTTAGATGTGGTGACCCAAAATGCAATTCTTTCTTGAAAGGAGAAGTCATAGTTTCAGAACTACTAATACCCAAATGCAACTCATATAGTTACAGAGTAACTATAGCAGTTAATAGTACAAAAACTGGAAATTGAGGAAAACTTCCTGCTGAAACACAGTAAAAAATCATAGCTCAGAGGTTCTGGTCACTGCACAGTTTTGTGATGGCTTAAACCTTAAGGTAACAATTTCCTAAAATGGGTAGATTATGGCAGTAGCTTTTTAGTCTTTCTAGACATTCTCTAGACAAATTTCTTGTAATCTTTTTAAAGCATAAGTTTTATAACATAAAGATTGTATTATGACTTTTCTCTAATTAATGCAGGTACAAGCTTGTTCCATTCTGGAAGGTTCCATCACTAACTCATTGTCAGAAAGACTAAGCTGCAACTTAAAGAGTTATTTTCTTTGGAGAATGAGATATTAGCTATTTTCAGAGAGATTTAAAAAATCTTTGTCATGTAGGCAATAGTAAATCTGCTGTTGCTTAAAAGAATAGAAGTTGTCTGGTTTCATGGGGCTTGTTTTTCCTTGGATACAGAAGGCTTGGGATTATTCCACCTTTCTCCAGTACTATAAAAATACATTGTAGGGCCTTTTCATCTTTTCTCACAAGACCCACGGCTTTATTTCATTCCACACACATCTCACAAGCATTACCACTTTGTGTTGGGTTTTCATGGCAGGGTTTTAGTAGTGGGGGTGTTATGGGGTTGTTGTTTCTGAGAAGCTGATCTACCAGCTTCCCCTGTGTCTGATGAAGCCCGTGCAGTCCAACCTCAAGGAGGACCCACAAAGCAGAGCAGTTTGTTTTACGGTTCTGGCATTGATTCTGTTCCTTCTACTGGGAATAACCTGGAGTAGTATCTTGTTGCTGACAGTCAGAGGCTGTATCAGCTCTCACGATGGCAAGGAACATCCACAGAGCTGTGGCTGTTGGAAGATGATATAAAATAACCCTAAAAGGAACAAAATAATCAAGAAGATTAAAAAAAATGGGGAAAAAAATTCAAACTGTTACACATGTAGCTTTGCCACTACATATTATTCAATAAATGCTACAAGTTTACATGCTGATACATTTTATAATAATTAAACTTTGGATACTTTTCATATTTAGTTTTGATACGTGTCATATTTGCTCACATAAATTAAGGAAACTCCCAGTCGAGTGCAAGAATTAGAGATAATACAATCTTGAGGCCCAGAAATGCAAGACGTGCTAAAAAGAGAGATTTCAAGTGAGTGCTGCCATTGTGTAACAGGCATAAACCCTTTTTTTTGCTTTGTTTTTGTATAAAACATGGTCTTCTCTGTTGCAGTTTGAAAACAAATTATTAAACTAAGTATTTGGTGCTGTTTCCAAAGCACTTACAAGAACACATCTGATCCCTTCAATCTGGGTTTCTGAAGTTATGTCAGAGGCAAATGCAAGGAGAGATCCAGGTAAAACCTTAATGCTTTTGTCTCCTGTTTTTATGTCCTCAATTCAAGTTTATCATTGATGACTGAATTAGGAGTATTGCCCCTATTATTACAAATTGGTGTTTTCTCATTGACTTCAGAAAAAAAAAATAAAAATCATGTTTATGTGATTTCATCTTGACTATTTTAGGGGCTCCAACAGAAAAGTCCGCTACCTGAAATAAGCCAAATATTTTATTTCTAGTCTGTTACAGGTAATTTGTCTGTGAATGTGTCACCAAGCCATAGAAAGAGCTCACTTCAGCCGTTTCAAAGTTCAGGAATCCTACTTTACAAACTCACTGTATGTGATGAGCAGAGTTCATACCTTCTTTTTTCACGAGGAGTTTTAAATGTTATTAGCTTTCAGATGCAAGGTAGGCAGGAGAATTAAGTGAAAGGCTGGCAGTTTTCGTGAGCAGCTCCCTAAAGAGCTGATAATGAAAAGCATCTCTCCGTGTCACTTACAAAGCTTTCCTCATTAACCCTCTAACTCAGACTGACGCTTCCAATAAACACTTAATTTTGCATTTTCTACCGGCATACATTTACTTACGAGAACTCCTAAACAAAGAAAACATACATAATTATAGGGCTAGAGGTTTACAAGGTGGCTCACATTCGATGACCTGCTACATTTTCTTCTATTTTCTTTGCTAATGCTATGATTTACATCTCAACATCCAAGTACATGCCCATTATAGGGAGAAAGCAAGCTGTATTTTTCTTAATTAACCGGTAGTCCTTTAAACCTTTAGAGGCTGGTATTATTAGAGTATTATAGAGGAATACAGATTAATCAGTAGCCAAGACAAGAAGAGCTCAACCCATGCAAAACTGGAAGTAAATCATGGGGCAAATGTTTTTTGCATTACCTGATCCTTCAAAACATTTGATGATAGGATGTCTCAGAGATGCCTGTGAACTTTGAGAGATCATTAAGGAATTGTGCTAGGATGTAACACTGTGTCCATATCAGACTCTTCTCATAATGCAATGAATCCAGGTTGTCTTAAGGAATTCTACTATGTGGCAATTTGATTTCCAGAAACGTGTACGAGTCAACCATGTTGAGTTCTGGCAGCACCAGCCCATGATGAGCATTTCCCTTTGTGGATTAAGAATCATCTGGCATGCTACCTCACACATACCGGCAGTCCACTATCTAACTAATTACTTCAGTGTTGAGTCATGACAAATGACACTCCTAAGGGCAATCTGGTAACAGGAACTCAACTGTCAGCAACATCACTGCATCACTAGTGATGCACCAAGTATTCTTCAGATGACTAATTAATATCTACCATTTTCTTCTTCAGTAATGTATTTGGTGAGGCACTGCAAGGTCTGGACAAACCCTCAACCATTCATACTGTTTAAACTGCAGCTCAGTACCCCACAGGCACTGTGGTATTTTTATTTCCTCTAATATTTAGACATCAATTCATTACAATTTGTGAAGGAAGAGGTAGAATGGTTTCAAAATCTCAATTAAAAATCTCTGAAAATTATTCCATTTATATGACTACCCTGAAGATCTAAAAAAACTTTGCTGACTTTTGATCTCCTTTCTTTTTAAAAAATATTCTCATTTTTTTATTTTACTGAAGATCAGCATTTAAAGAGGTCCCACTCCTGCATTATCCTCTGTTCAGTAAGTTCCCCAAAAAGATACAAGAAAACCAAACCCTGGCTATTCAGAACTCTTACGAGTTATAATAGCTTAATGCAGTTCCAAATATATCCTAATTTTCAATTGAAATTAAACAAGAAAATTACAATTGTTCCTTTTACTCATGTTAGAAGTGTCTTCAGTAAAATGCAAACTCCTTTTCCCTTGTGACGCTGCCATTTTGTAAGCTGACTCACAACCACCATGTTAAACGGTGTTTAACATGGAACAGAAATGACTTCCAGCAGTATATCCTTTAACCACAGTTACAAATAAAAACAGAAGGCTTGCCAGAACCAAAACCAGATAGTTCTTCAGAAGAAGATATAGCCTATCTTCAGATAGGCTGGACTAACACCAGCCAGCCACCTCTGTAATTGTGCTCACGCACAGCGAAGTGTCATCAGCTCTAGTACCAGCTCCAAACAGAGCAGCAGGAGTGTGGCACGAAGACCAGAGGACTTTCCCTCTGTACAAACATTTTTGCACTGTGTTGCAACACATCGTTTATCTCTGTTGCTCTGCTCACTCCTGGTACTGACAGGTTGTGTCATCACTATGAGAATTCTTCCCCTTATTTTTTCATTGTACAGCTCCTGCCAGCTCCCTCTTATTTTCCTACCATTCCAGGATTTCCTTTCACCTTCTGACAAAGGACAAGGCTGTTATAAATTTTTCCAAGTGGAAGAACACTTCCCATATATATGTCATTTTTAAAAGCCAAGTTCATTCTTGGTGACAGTCATGCTTTCCCCTTCAGAGAGACCCTTTCTGAAGCTAAATCCAGATTACTTATTAACTGCCTTCTACCCAGCCTCCTACCTGGTCATCTGCAGCATGTGTGTGCATGGGATATTCCTTGTTTACTCTGCCCTTGTTGACGTCAGCTGGCAGGACAACAGATGTGACACTAAGTCAGATGTCACTGCTGTCCTGTTGGGAGGACTTATCTGTCAGTGAAACATGACCTTCAGATTCAACACTTCTGAACACACCTGACAACCTCTTTTTCTGCCACTGAACCCCTCTAGGTGTTTTCCAGCTTCACAGGACAGACATGGGGTGCCTATCTGCACTTAAAGGATTAAGTTTCAGTATTTCTTTAATTCCAGTCCAGGGATGGGTAACAATCTCAGAGCTGAATTTCCTCACAGAGCACTTGAAAAACATAGTTTGAGAAACAAGTTTTTCCATGCTCACTACTGCAAATGAGGCAAAGTACCAAAGCATACGTGGCATAGCATACTGTCACAGGTTAATGTCTATATATACTGTCAGTTAGGTATAAAGAGCAAGAAGACAATATAGAAGGAATCAAACCATCCTGAACCCAGTAAAGACAGTTACTGCAACTTCAGTTAAGTTGTTTGTACAGCTTAATCAACAATGGAATAGAAACTGGGAAGGGAGTAATATAAACTCTATAAGCCATACTCCACTATGCAAGTCTTTTTATATCAGAGGAAACTACATCAGATCCAGGTGGATCTTGGAATTCTGAAAATGAAAAGAAAGCATGAGACCAGTTATGAGAAATTCTAAAGTCTGCAGGTTTTTTCTTTACAAAACATTGGTAGCAACAAGGTCACAAATCTGGAATGCATACTTATACATGGTAAATAAGCGTTAATTGTTCATGAACTGTATTGGTGATGGCATTTATGCACTCATTTCTTTTTCACAGAAAAAAAAAATGAAAACAACGAAACATCCCAGGCATAAGGGAAAGACCCCATTTGGAAACTCATTGACAGAATGTTGCAAGTTCTTCCTTCAGAAAACCATTACAGCTGCTTTAGCTCTTCCTACCTGTGTTTATTCTGGAATTCCATGTAGATTTCCAGGTAGCAATAGTATTTCCAATGGTCATATAATACTGAACTTCAAGCAATTACACAAAGAGGCTTTATTCCATAAAAACAGGAAGTTGTTACATGTATGAAATAAATAACTATGCTTACAAATTTCTGAATATTTTCAAAGAAATTCTGTTCCTAATACACAGAAATGTGTATTAATACAAATCCCCACATGCATCATCATCATACACAGTGCCAACATTTTCATACAAGGACCTTAGATGTCAAATCAGGGCTTGGAGCAGTTTAAGGCAGGCATTGGTTGCATATAATCTCTTGTATAAACACAACCTCTTAGATCTCTGTCGTTTCAAAATTCATACTTTTTAATTGTTCTTCAAGCACATCAGAATCTTCATCACTGTCTGCACTACTGAAATTTGTATCGAAATCCAGCTCATCCTTCAATTTACTGGTCTCCTGGCCATTTTTAGAAGTCTCACTCTCAGTTCTGTCTTGTCCTTTATCAATCCTGTAGAAAACAAAAGGGATGTTATCACCACCCACTTCTGGAATTAAAACAGAAATGGGACAGGGGATAGAATATCCTCCTGGCATTCCATCCCAATGTAGAATGGAAGATGGCAGGAGGTGGGAAGAAGGAAGAGAGGGGCAATAAAAGTCCGTAAAGTTACTTCACACTAAATAGGAAGGACACAAAACACAATAAAGTATGCATTAAAAACTACTGAGTACAGAAGAGACTGTAAAGAAAGAAAAATAAAATTTGAACAGCTTGACCAAGTAAGCAACTGCTGGACTGTTGTCACAAACTAGTGAATTAATGTTTTGTGTATCATGCTCAATAAAGAGAGAATGCCAGTAAAAAAAAGTCAAAAAGCCAGCTAAATATACTGTGGTAACTGTGCTCAATAGCAGTCCTTGTTTAGTCCTTCCGTTCACTAGTAACTGAATTATCAAGTGGCAGACAAAATGCAAACAGCTAAGTGGCTTGTGTATATTTTACACATTTTACGATGCTCTACACCAAGACCTGTTTTGAAGTGTTTTTTTCTTAAGAAGATACACAATTTACCCGTTGGTGTTAAAAAGTCTTATCCAAGTGGGATGTTTTTTGGCTCAGCCCCACTAACATCAATAAACATTTCACCCCTAGTTTCATCTGAACAAAGCAAAGCAAACAACTCCTACTGACTTACGCTGGGATTATTGAGAATGTGCATAAAGTACAACAACTTCTTGGCAGTTTCCAAACAAGGCTTATTACAAGGGGAATTATCAGTACAGGACTGAAATGATGTCCCCTATGAGCTACTTACGGAATTACTATTTCTTCTTGTTTCCCACACTTAGCACAAATTTCTAGTTTACCAGCACATGGTCGACAAATGATATGATAAGGATCTTTTACAGTCTTCTGGAGGCACTTCACACTGTGAAAAGAAAGAAAACATGAGTAAAAAAATATCGTGAACACTTACTAAACATTCTGTGTTCAAATACAATACACAAATATACAAAAGAGGAACAAATACTCCACGAAAGAGGAACAACACATTTTAGGCTGGTTTCAAATGAAACAGTATTTTATCAAGTAGCATTATCAAAATCATTGCAGTTCACCCTTCCCCCATACTTTTCTCAGGAAGAATCACTAAAACAAGTACCAAAAAAGAAACATTAAATTAAGAGTTTTATATTTAAGTTGACAAAAGAAACATTTCCATTCATTTTGCTAGGTAGTTTTTATTTTAAAAGTTGCATAACCTCTGGTTTAATGATAAAAGCAGCATATGGCATAAAAAAGTACATGAACTTCACAAATAAAAAGCTTTCAGTTCAAACACTGTAATGACTCCCTCTTGAACTTCTCAGAGTATAAACTAGTCGGTGCTAGACTTTGTTTTCTGTGAACACAAGTCTGCATGGAACAGGCTTCTCAACAAATAAATTCTCAATCTAATAAGGCAGAGGGCATGGGCTAGTCTTTTTCAAAATAAGATAAAATTCTGTAAACTTAGCAGTTTCCAAAATTCTGTGGATTAACATTCAGCTGACATTTCTAAAGCTTTGTATATCTGGAGAACATAACCCAGAACAATATACCCCATGTAATGCTGCTGTCTTGAAAGTAGTTTTCTTGGTTGTCATGCCCTCAAAATTCTTCCCAAACTTTTCATACCAAACAGGGGGACTACCAATGTGAGGCAAATTTATATATTTTTTAAAAAATAGTTTACCTTCTAATAATTAAATGCTCAAATTACAAGTAAGGTATGGAAAAATTGTGGTTGTACTAACACTGAATCTTAAAGATGTTTAAAAACTAAAAATAAGTTGAGGTACAGAGAAGTTCTCCATTCCCATCTTTTGTGATATAAAGAATTATTTTTCTTTCTTTTTTTTTTCTTTTTTTTTAATTGTCACATTTTTAATGTTTATTAAGCTTTTCCTTCATCCAGAAGCTTCATCTGCTGAAAATTTTCACAATCTTGTCATCTCAGAACAGTGGCTCACCCAGCCATTGTACTGATGGCCTAGAAATCATCACCTGTAAAGCTAGAATACTCTGAAGCACAGCTTCCTCATTTAAAAATATGAGGGAGAATATCACATATTCTGTTACAAGCTGCTGCTCTACAGTGCCACTTTTTCTACTTCCAGTGCTTCCATGATTTACATGGGAACTTTGCCTGCTTTCTTCCCTTTGGGAAAAAAAAAAACAGGATGCACACAGTAATTTGAGAAAGAGTTAAAAAACTACAAAATCCAACTTTGTCTGTGGTGCACAGAATGTGTATTTTTTATTCAGCAAGCCTTCTACACAATAAGGTACTTTTTACACAAAAGGGCGAAACACATCACTAATACCAAAATGAAAGCTACTGTGACAAACCTGGATGTATTGTGCACCACAACCCAGTTGTGAGTTTCTCTGAGTTCAATTTCTCTGTTTCATTGCTGAAGCACTGGCTGTGTCTGCTAGCACAAGAGGGTAAGGACTCCTGCAACCAATCAAATAAGAAGGAAGCAGAGAGCATCTCCTTCAGAAAACTAAAATAATTTGTATGTTTGTGATACGTTGAAATATTTATCATCTTTGTTATACAGTTATACAAAACCAGATATACATATATATTCTGTATATACAATACAGAACTCTGTGCAAACAATGCCAACGTTTACTATTTAGGATCATAATTTCCTACAGAAAAGGAGCAAACATGCTAAGAGGTAATGAAACGCATGTATTGCAAACATTACCAAAGCACAGAAGTCGAGAGATGTACAGATCCCTCCAATACAGACATGAAACAAGACCTTAGAAAATTGTGTTACAACAGGGTCAGGTTTGACTTTTTGCTCAGGAGGACACACTGATGGTCTTGGAAACTTACAGGTCCACAGTTCAACCAGTTTTAACAGCAGAGGGAAGCAGTTGCTTTTCCTCTGTGTCTTCATCCCAAAAGCTTAAGATAAAAGACTTACGAATTAGAAAATTAACATTGCCTTTAAGTTGTCATTGCAGACTCCACATTTGAAAAATGTTGCATAATAGCAGCTTCTTCTTGTGAGTTTCCAAAGTCAGAATATTTTCCCAAAGCTCACAATCTACACAATCAAAAATTAAAAAGTATCTTCACTCACCATTTTTTAGGTTTTGTCAGTAGTTTGTACTTTCTGAATTTTACTCGCCACTCCAAGATACCTTTGCAATGCTGACACACTCCATCATGAAGCTTAGCATTTATTTTCTGAATAAGTAAAAAAAAAAATAAATTGAAGATTGCCTGCAGTCAAGAGTAAAATCTTGCTTAGAAAGATTTATTATATAATTTATACAGTACTATAAATATGTTTGCTTGATATTAACATTAAGCCTTTCATATACATTTGTCTAGAAATTTTATTCAATAGAAAGAGTATCTTGAGGTTAAAGACTAGATGATGATAATTGACGATGATTTTAATGTTCTTAATAGTGGTACTTCTTTTTGTTATTATATTGTTGATAATTGATTACTGTAGGTATTTTATTCTTTTCAACTCTAGACATTTTACAAAATGGATTTAAGGAGAGAGAAGCCCTGAAATACACAGGTTTTGTCTAAAGAACTTACAAGATTTAGCATTTAACTTACTATTGCTCAAGCTATCTCTATACTGCATAGTTTAAATAGTCTCAGGATTTCTCCTCAGAGAACAATAAAGTAGAATCCACACACTATATGCATTCAAATTATTCAGTCTCTCTTTAATCCTAGCCTTCCTTTAAGAGAAACATTTTTCTTCTCTGCACCTAAGATAAAATCTTTAAAATGGTAATTTAACCATGCTATATTTTTGAGACAATGAAAAATTTACCTTACTATCTCCTACAACATTTTGTGTTTAGCTTTCTCAGAAATATAAAATATCAATTGGCCAGCAGTATTTGCACAAGAGACATTATTCTGAGATGGGAAACAGTACCAAACCACACTCTTATTTTAAATAACAAGCTATAACCTTGTATGCTCAATCTAATTTTATTTCTTCTCTATTTAAGAATGCCAGCAGTACTGTTGTCTACCACATGGGTGTTCATATTCGTTCAGAAATTTAAAATCAGAAATTTAATGGTTTAAAAAGGCATATAATAAAAAATGTATTCTTTCAGATAGTTTAAAAATGGCTACCAAATCAACATTGCATTAATAAATCCACATCTACTTCTTAGCATACCTAGAAGGACTGATTCTGAATTAATTTGGATTAAAATTTATGTTATTCTTTCACAAGTGAACAGGACAAAAAAGTTATTCTATGAATACAGCATCTTCTGAAGTAATTTCCTGCTTTTGTGACCCCCCAAGAGCTTCTTACTATTCCACAAAGCTCGACTTCAATACACAAGACCAAAAACCCAAGCTTTAAAAGGACAACATCTTATTCTATTCCAAAAAATGTGTATGGCAGAGGAGATGCTACTTTCAAGTGAAACTATACTCTGGGACTAGTGTTCCATTGTCTCCTTTTTTATTAAACTTCCACATCCAGTATGAGGTTTTCTGTGGTGTGGTTAACTGAATGTGTGGTGCTTTCTGGCTGTTTCAGTTAAAAGAAAATTATTTTCTAAATTATCAAATACAGACTTGGCATATTAAGAAGCCAACCAAGCAATGTTTTGCAAACTGCTTGAATACTGAATACAGAAAGCTGTGGTTCTGACGCATCATGAATATATTTTCAAAAATATACAAACAATTGCTTAATGTGCAAAACTTCTCAGAGAAGAAAATCACCAGTAAGCTCCCATCAGATGTCTCTTAAAGGCAGTTCAGTACCCCACAATTCAGTATCTTGCAATTCAAATTGCTCTGAGCAGTACCTGTGTTCAGTCTTTCAAAATTCACGCAGTTCAAAGACAAGCCTTGTTTTCATCACTTGACCAGCACCAAGTAAGGCTCCAAGCACTTTAGCCCACATGAGCTTCCAACAACAACAACCTGCCTGAACTTCCCAGTGCTCCCCCTCGCTCCCCTTACTCGCACTGATTGGTAATGCAGGAGGGCAGTAAGATACAAACAGTGTAATTTATTTTTCCAGGTAGAGATACATTCATTGTTAACAGCTAGTTCTAGTGTTGCTAAGGCAGAAGCCAGAGAATGTAAAAAGGACTGCAGTAGCTTAAGCTGAAGGCGGATGGTTGTCTTTCCAAAGAAGTAGTTTGCTTCCTGGATGAAAAGGACAGTGTTTCCCTTAACACATCCTGACATCAGGCTGGAGCTGGGGTCAGGAGCCGTGCCACAGAGCGATGCAGAGGCAGGCTCAGCAAAGCCTAAGGCACCTGGGACACAAGAGCCTGTGCTCAGGACTGCACGCCCTGAAGAATGAAACAGAAACTACTTCAGAAACTTCTCATCTGAAGCAAATCCAAAGTTCATCAAACAGGCAGCCTATTACAAATTCTGCTAAATGTTTGCTATGGAACAAGGAAATATGCATCGTTATTATTTATGGAGCTTTATAAAGCTCTTCCCCACCCCAATACTCTTTTATCATCTGGCTCCTAAGAATACCACAATCACATAGTGATGCATTTCATTTTTATTTTTCTTTTTCCAATCAAACTGAAACACTGACCACCCCAAAAGCTGAAGATGCCAGAGAGGAAGGGGCAGTACAGCAGGGCACAGGAAATCCAGGAGCTTTCTAGCATGCACTGATGACAGCTGCCTTCTCTGAGTGATAGAAGAGCCAACAAGGAGAGGTGCCGTGCTGGATTTTGTTCTTACCAACAAGGAGGGGCTGGTGAATGTGAAGCTCAAGGGCAGCCTGGGCTGCAGTGATCATGAAGTGGTGGATTTTCAGGTCCTTGGGGCAGTGAGGAGTACGGGAAGAAGATCACTACCCTGGACTACAAAGACAGCAGACTTTGTCATCTTCAAGGAACTCCTTAGAAGAGTGCCATGGGATAGAACTGTGGAGGGAAGAGTGGCCTAAAAGAGCTGGACGATATTGAAGAGTAGTCTCCTTCAGGTTCAAGTGCAATGCATCCCTACAAAGAGAAAGAAAATTGAGAGGCCTGCATGGATGGACAAGGAGCTCCTGGAGAAACTTAAACAGGTAGCTTTCAGAGGGTATAAGCAGGGAAAAGCAGTCTGGGAGGAATACAGGGAAATTGTCCAAAAAGTCCAAAGGGAAATGGTTTCCAAAGGGAAAGCCAAAGTACAGGCAGAAATAAATCTGGCAAAAGACATCAAGGATAAGGAAGAAGAGGTTCATTAGGTATGGCAGCCATCAAAGACAGACTCGGGAAAATATGTATCCTTTCGAAGGGAGATACAGGATACAGAAGACCTGTTTACCCAGGACATGGAGAAGGCATTTAGACAGTGGGATTGAGCGTACCCTCAGAAAGGCTGCCAATGACACCAATCTGTATGATGTGATCAACACACTGGAGGGAAGAGATGCTGAAAAGAGGGACCTGGACAGGTTTGAGAGGTGAAACTGTACAAATCTCATGAAGTTCAACAAGGCCAAGAGCAAGGTCCTGAACCTGGGTTGTGGCAATCCCAAGCACAAATACAAGGTTGGTGGAGAATGGACAGAGTACTCTTAGGAAAAGGACTTTGTGTTTTGGTGGATGAGAAGCTCAACCTGAGCTGACAGTGTGTGCTTGCAGCCCACAAATCTGGCCAGCAGGGCAAGGGAGGTGATTCTGCCCCTTCACATTGCTCTTGTGAGACACCACACAAACATTCAGCTCTGAGACCCCCAACACAAGAAAGACATGGACTTGTTGGGACAAGTCCAAAGAAGGGCCACTAAGTAGATCACAGGACTAGAGCACCTCTCCTATGAAGGCAGGCTGAGAGTTGGAGCTGTTCAGCCTGGAGAAGAGAGGCTCTGGGGAGACCTTAGAACACCTCTCAGTACCAAAGGGCTACAAGAGAGCTGGAGAGGGAGTTTTACAACAGGATGTAGTCACAGGCCAAGGGGGAATGGCCTCAAACTGAAATATTGTAGGTTTAAATCAGATCTTAGGAGAAAAATTCTTTACTGTCAGAGTGGTGAGACACTGGAATAGGTTCCCCAGTAAAGCTGTGGATGCCCCACCATTGGCAGTGTTCAAGACCACTTGATGAGACTGTGAGCACCCTGGTCTAGAGGAAGGTGTCTCTGCTCCTGACTGGGGGTTTGGAACTAGATGAACTTTAAGGTCCCTTTCTTTTCAAGCCTTTATATGATTCTATCATCCCATTTATGTGTGTCAGAAATCACTTTAAGCATCCTGATCCAGGCATAAAGAAGCCTGGACTTTTCAACATGTTAAGACCACAAATCTTACACAGCTACTCAAAACGAAATCACATTGCATCTGCTCAGAAGGTCACAAAGTGGAAGAAAGACAACAGCTTTGAAGTTCTAGTTTCCTCCTTCTAAGATGCACATATACATCTTCCTCCTCTTCAGCAATTTTCTGTATTTTTTACTCCATTTTGATAACTCAAGTATGGGGCATTGTAATTAATCATTGGCTCAGCACATCTAATCAAAGAGATGCTAAAACTCTACAACCCTATCAGGCAGCTGGTTTAGAAAATCAACAGAGAATGATGGATTGATGTAAAGAAAGCAGAGAGTTTAATTTGTGTTTTAGATTTATTTTGCTCAGGAAAAAAAAAAAAGTCATGATATTTAAATGCTGCTATTACTAAAACAGGTTGCTAATTCACTGTGTTCTTTTACACTTAATTCAGCATCTCCTCTGACCACAAAAACCCACAAAACACCTCTCTCAAAAGCAATGCAGACTTGAAGAAGTAAAGAAAGCTGTCCCTAATGAAAGATTTGAACAGTCTGTTTTTTCAGATTTTTGAAATTGCTAAAAAAACATGTGAGAGGAGTTCTGATAATAAATCAGAGACAAACTGTTTCTCAGTTCCCAGTCAAAATGGGGAAGTAATTATTAAAATCCAATAAATCCCTCTGGTGCTTACCTTTCCTATTAATATTTACTTTCTAATATATTTTGTATATTAATTAAACTTTCACAAATTGTATTTTCTTTCTTTTGCCCATTTAATAGCTTGCTTTCCCTTAAGGGTTTTAGAAAACCCAACAACCCACACGAAACCCTGAAAAAGGCTCGTAAACTTCATTATTCTTTTCCAACTTTTCTACACAGCTTTTACAGGTAGTCAGGCCGTCACACACAAATAGGAGGTAGTGCTTGAAATTAATTTCTCGGTGTCAAATCAATTTCTTGGTGTGAAAACTACTTCAACATGTTAGATTAAGTTTCCGTTGTGGTGGTTTCTCTGTGGTTTTCTTTATGCTCACTTCCACGTTTCAGTCAATAGCTCTCTCTTTAGCGTACTTTGCTCCAAGGACAAGTGCAACTCATCCAGTGCTTACATATGTCTATATATTCTGCAGGGAAATTACAGTTAAGCAATACAAACACACCTAAGCAGTCTTAGGGTATGAGGCCACAAAATATGCCATGTACATGCTATATGCACAGTCAGTGTACGTCAGTACATTAATGAACCAACATCCTCTGCTCATGTAACCTAATATTAGATCACCTAACAACTTGCCCAAAGCAGTTCAGAATGTATTAAACTAATGCACCTACACCTACTAACTTGGCACACAAAATAATCCCTAGCTAAAACTAGCATTAAAGTGTTCACAGGTAAGATGTAATGACAGGGCTTCAAAGAAGCTTCACCATCTGTTTGTAATCTTCTAATTATGAGTGAATCTATGGGTATTTTTATTTCCTCTACTAAAAGCAGATGCCTGCTACAGAGCACACATCAGTGGTCTATTCTGTTGTAAATGAGTGTAATGCTAATGCCACCCATAAACTTCCTTACCAGAAACACAGGTGATGCTGCTTCAATCAGTAAGGAAGGACCAATGCAGCACAAGGATGAATGCAGCACATGGATGAATGCAAGATTTTCTGAACTGAACTGAGAAAAACAAAACTCCACAGGACCTCCAGTGCATGACTGTAAAGCAGTTAGAGTAGTCAGAGCAGACTGACAAATGTAAAACTGATGCCAGATTTCAGGGTTCCAATATACATTACACAGGCTGAAACTGTCCCCCACAGTTATTGCATCAGCATTACTTGAAATTCCTTTCTCTACAGATATTTTCTCATCAAGTGTATTTCAAAATTTAAGCAACCTATGGAGATAGCATTTAAGCGAGCACTGAAGGACTCTCGCCATCTCCCCCAGAAAGAATGGAAAATACACAAAGACACATAAACACACACACACCAGAAACATTTCCTGCACTCACCCACACATTCTTTCTCTCACTCTCTGCCCCACCTCCAGAGATGGGTTAGTCCTGAGCAGATGTTATATTTGCTCCTGTCCTCCCTACATTAAGGGCTACAACCCAAGACTGAATGTACTTCTGAACCCAGAGTGACAGCAGTGGCTAGAGAGTAGACTTCAGCCTACCAAGCTACTCTACATTGCAGCAAGAACATTATCTAAAAAAACTGCAATACGGTTATCTAACATTTCCAGTCAGCCACTGGTTTATCTTTATCTCCCTTCTGCGCTTCAAAATATGATTACTGACTCAGCATTTAAGCTCTGTATTCAGTTGTTCCCTTTCTATTGCTCTCCCACAGTCTCAACCAGTGTTTCCACTAAAACAAGTGATTTATCCATGCACCTAGCTGAAAAAGTAACTGACATTAACACTGTGGTAAAGCTGCGGTTCAGAGGTAATAAAGTTTAGGGAAATGTGGATTATCATCTTAGATGTACTTAATGAAAGGAGAGAAATGTAGAAACTAATCAGTCATTCGAGTGTAAATATGAATCACTTTGTGGTTTACCATCTTACTACAATGGGATTCTAAATGTTCTCATTAAATTATATTTGCTTTCATTTCTAGAACTACTGCAGCTTCCATGAAGACTTATGTAATATACTTTACATAAAATGTATATTCATATAACATAATGTATATTCCTCAGCTTGGTGCTGCAAAGAGCTATTTTGGAATATACCGTGTAATGCAAACACCCATAAACAATTCCAAGATTCAATAACTAACAAGACAGTGTCTTACCCTGTCCTGGCTACTCCTTCTTCAGGTCATCCTAAGATGCAAACTCTTCCAGCACTGTTGTAGACTGTTCCCCAAATACAGTAGGGAGGCAGTGTATTTTGTTGCAAGGATATTTCACCACAACAAGCCTATCTCAGAGCAATGCTCTAGTAATGCTGTAGTAAAGACTGATCATTAGAGAAAAGACAGATGGATCTTCTAGCATGTTCTCAAGTAATCAGATCTGTGGCCTTTAAGATTAGAAAATGGATTACATGGTCAGTGTCAGACAAAGAGCACAAAACAATTCAAAAAAACAACAAACCAACTGGATAATGACTGCCAGCAGAGAAAACTCAAAATACTATAGATCGATTTCCTCTGCAGATACTGCTTCACTGAGAGAAACAGCAACAGCACTATAATTAACTACCTCAACTCCACCCACTGTACAACCTCAATCTATTGTAGTAAATATTCAACGTTGCTAATGCAGTGCACAATCGCAGCAGGATTCAAATTTTCAGCTGATAAGCATTTTGCAGCCTTTCAAGATAATATTGCATTGGACAGTGTACAACAGTAGACAGGCCAAATACGAAACCTCCCATATGTTTAACAGTGATTTACAGGAGATCCACCCTGTTTGAGAAGCTTTAAGTATTCTTTTGATCTACTGAAGTAATGAGAGGTAGAAAAGAGTAAGCCCCACTCCTGTATCAGTCTCTGTGGTAGAATTTCGGATTTCTTCCTTTTCCTCATCACACATTGAACATCCGTGACACATCTGATCATCCAGGACTATAAAAGACAGAGATGCAAAACTGACAGTATTCAGCATAGTCCATATCTAAACTATGACATTATTCACCACTTAATCTTTGTTAGTCTAACTTCTTTAAAATTTCAAAAACAGCAGAAATGGGGCTAGTCATTATTATAATGACCCCTGTGTATTCCTGTTCCAGTTCTGGCGAAGCCAGGGTTAATTTTTCCAGGCTAGGACACTAAGGTTATTCTATACCACCTCACATAATTTTCCAAGAATGGGGGGAGGCATCCCTTCCAGGTCAAATAGCATGGTGTGGTCTGGTACTGCCAGGGGTCCCACAAAGTGAAGGCTTGTGTGTGAATCATCTCTTCTACACTACTGCTGTTACTGTTTGCTTTCTTATTTCATTTGCTGTTTCCAGTAAATTTTCCTTATCTGAACCTGTGATCTTTGCCTTTTGTGCCTCCAATTCTCTTCTCTGAGGCTGTACAGGCAGAGAGGTAGGGCGGGGGGTGGGTGAGTGAGTGAGGAGTGAGTGAGTGGTGCATGGTTTAGAGTGTTTCGTTTGGAACTGGGGAATGTAATTCCTAAAACATGGCAATACCTTAGGACTTGAATTTGTACATGACAGTATGCCCTAAGAAAAAGGAATGAATCCTTTGCACTTACCTAACATTACCTAACTTTATCTAAGCCCAGAACAGGAAATGTGTTCTTCAGGATGCTACTGCCACATGCTCAGCCCTCTCCATGAGCCAGCAGGTATAGAGATAAAAAAAAATAATTTGCTTGAAATAGAAATAAAATAAAACACAAGTTGATGTCCACAGGAAATCTTGGCTATATAGTAAAAATATATATATTTATTTGAGCGCATGATATTGTGTAGCCAGAGCTATAGGACATAAATTATTCTCAAAGGGAAGAAAAACAGAAAAACAGCCATGTGGGTATTAAAGCAATTATTTCCATTACAAAACTGATACCAGAATTCAGTTTCTCTTTGAAAACTTTTTTGATAGACCAGCTCTCTACTGGTTATTTTTCAGAGGTCATTCAGTGACTCACACAACAAATAATACTGCTTAGAATCCCAGGAAAGCAGCCTGTTCAACTTGCAGAACCAGTCCTTAAAAAAAATCTCAAAACCCAACAAAAACAAACTGACAAAAAACCCAAACTTCCCTCTTTGGCATCAAGGCTTTAACTTACTAGTTTTTCCCTTCCTCCCAGCTCTTTTTGACAACCCAGTCAGGGATACTAATATGACAGTCAATAGCACCACATGAACTCTCCTAGATTATTCATCCTCTGTTTTGCTTTAGTCACCTTCTTGGTTTAGCCTGCAAGATGAAACATCCCACTTTTATGTTGTTACTATTCAGACACACCGTGTGTTCTTCAGCCCCTTCCACATATTATGTTATCAAAGCTACAAGCACAGATCTTATTTCAAGAATATATTGTAGACCCTTTCCCTTTGCCCGCTTAGAATCAAAAAGAGACAAAACAGTCTTCTGAAACAGAGTGAAGATGATAACTTTTGTAGCAAAAGTGCTGATAGACTAGCTGAAGACACCTTTCTATCTAACTAACCAGAAGAGACCCCTTTTTTTTTTTAAAGAAATTAAAGTACACATGAAAGTTATCTCAAAAGTAGACAGATAAAAGCTGGTTATTTATGTGTGATGGGAGAAAATTGTTCAAACTAAGATCTCAAAACAGCAAGATTTCTGAGTTATGACCACATAATCACCAGCCTTGAGAAGGCTTTTCAAGAAGTCATAAGGGTAATGCGCCATAGAACATTTAATTACTGCACTTACTGCACAAATGCAAGCACTTTATTTCAGTTCTCCTCTTAATAATTTTTTGGCTTAACTTAGTTCCTTTTATGTCATAAGTATGATTGAAGTTTCACACTACGCATTTGCTTACAGTGACAACTGTCTGAAAGGTCGTGCTACGACTCTCTCTCAGCAGCGCTGTGCCTGGTGCGGGTGGACCCGGGCCAGAGCTGTCCCCATCGCTCAAACCGTGCCTCGGCATCCCCTGCCGCCTGACCTCATTTGCCATCCCGAAGGCTTTTAGGACCTCACAAGGACCAGGGCATGGCTTCAGAGCCAGAGGGGAACCTGCCCCTGCCTTCGGCAAGAAACCTTTCCCGCCGCTCCGGCCTCAGGCGCTGCGTGGCCCGTAGAGGGGCGGCCTCTGGCGCCGGGAGAGCTGCGCGCCCCCCGGGCCGGCCCGGGCCCGCTCCCGCCTACCTTTCGCCGGGCGCTGGTGTCGTACTTGTCGTTCTTGAAGGCGCGCGCGTTCTGGTGGCGCTGGGGCCGCGTGCGCGACACGTTCCCCCGCTCCGAGCTCATCGCCGCCCGGCGCCGCCTGCCCCGGAACCGCTCCCCGGGCCCGCCCGCGCTGGGCGGCGCCGCCGCTGCTGCTCCCCTATTGGCGCTGGGGCCCGCCGGACCCGCCCCGACCGCCTCCGGCCGCCCCGGCAGCCGCCGCGCCGGTGCAGTCTGCGGGCGAGACGAGGCCGGCGCCGCTCCGGAGGCTGCGCGGGGCGGGCTCAGCGCTGCCAGGGCCGCGCGTTCTCCGGCCGGGGCCGGGGCGCTGACGGCCGCCTCCCGCCGCGCCGTTACTCAGCACAGCCGGCGTCCCCACACCTCACCGACCCGGCAGTCGGGAGAGCGCGGGGCCGCCGAGCGGAGCGCCAGGTGCAGGTAGGGGCTGTCCTCCGCCGGCGCGGCGGGGATGGACGGTGTGCGGGTGACCCGCTGCCGCGGTGTGTGGGCGAGTTGTTTCCTCCTCGCAGGTCCGTCCGTGTCTCTTCCCCCGCTCGGACCCGCGGCCCGTCCGCACCGCCTGGCGCGGGCGTGTGTCGGCCCCTGGGGCGAGCGGAAGGGCCCGCGGCAGCCACCGGCGTTTCCTCAGAGAGGCGGGCGGCGCGGCTTCGGTCTCGGGCGCGAACCGGGCGGGGAGCTGCCGGCCCCGGCCACCTTCCTGGCCGCGTCCCTGTGCCGCTGGGCTCGGGGGTGTCTGGGGGTGTCGCCTGCCTCAGGGTGCCCGGGTGCTGTGGGCGATCTGTCCCGGCGCTCCCGTCTCCGTGGTCTTGCCCTGGACTCCTTTGTTGGCAACGGGCGCCTTGACTTGTACACGCTTGCTAAAGTCCGGCTTTTCGCGGCTCCGAACAGTGCCTTTGAGTCACTGCTGAGGACTTCTGCGGAACCCTCTTCAGTTGCGGACGCCTGAGGAGCTAATTTAGCTCCCGCCAGCCTGGTTAAGTTTATTCCTTCAGCTTCTGCTTTTGAGGGTGGGAGTGACGGTGGCCTCAACATTGCTCTCAGGTATTACTGATATAAAAATTTGGAGTATTTGTTCAGTAATTAAGGAGGAAGTTGGCGGCTGCGGAAATCAGAGTAGAACCACCTGAGCGCGGAGCGGTGTGCAGGGCGGAGCTCCTCGCTGGTGGCCGGCCGGGCTGGGGCGGCTGGAACACAGCGGGGCTTCAGCGCCCACGGCTTTAGCCGGGCAGGTCCGGGCTGTATGTCCAAGGCCTTATGTAATCGACTTAATCCTGCAGTTGTCTATCTGGAACCTTTAGAGGTTTAGTTTGTTCTTCGGATGATAAAGGACATCTGGATTTTTCAGTGGGAGTTTCCTGTATTCCCCCTTTTTTTTTTTTTTTTTTTTTTCAGCTGTGCTTCTAGGTTTTGATATATACAAAGTAACCAGCAGAGGATGTATAATGTCTCTCTATTTGAGATAGCTAGAATTTGTAAGACTAGCAATGGTGTTTATTTGTTTAGAATCAAATTAACCAAAGTTTTCGTTCCACCAGGCTTCTCTGTTTTCATGCAGTATACTTTGTCCGTTGAAAACTACCTTGAATAGTTACTTCACAGTAATTTCTTAAGTATAGCTTTTTCATAATTTAATTGACTTTCTTTTGTGTTGTTTTCTGGACTTACTATGTATTCTTTCTTAATGTTCTCTTAATCAGACACTTAATGACACTATCAGACATTCTTTCTTACTGAATATTTTATTGCTTTAACTGTTGGACTAGTTAAAGGATATTCATATCCTTCTGTTCCATTTTTAATATAACACAGGTGTAGAAATAAGTATTGGTACTTCAGTAGTGGCTTGAACTCAAATTTTCATTGTATTGTGTTCAGTCAAAGTGTGAGGGAAAATACTTCAGAATTTCTTGTTTCAGCAGTATATAATGGACACTAACGATGAAAAAAAACCCAATCAAACAACAAATCCACAACCAAAATACACACAAATAGCAACCAAGCAAAAAAATCCCCAGCAATTTTAATATCTTGCCCGTTATGGTTCGAACAACACTTAAAGTTCCAAACCAGCAGCTATATTTATGAGTTTGGCTTTGTTCTTGTGAATAGTTCGCATGAAATAGGCACTTTAATTTAAATAAACAATTAGAATAATTTATATTTAATGTAAATATAAGATTTCTAGATAAGTGTTTGCAAGGGTTGGGCTGCTTTTGAGACTAATACATACTAAAGTATTCAAAGGTTCCACTTTCTTGTTATTATGTACAGAGATAAGAGGACAGGAATAATTGCTTATATGAAAAAAATACATTTGTGTTATCCTAGGATTCGCAAGATAAATACTTGATCTTAATCTTTAAGATTAAATAGACATTTTTTTCCCCTTTTGTCAGCCTTTATGAGAAGGCTAATTGCCACAGAATGAATTAAAATCACTGTGTGTGGGCAGTTTTACATTTGTAATTTTATATGTTAGGTCTTTATTTGTAAGAAAGTTAAACAAATAAAATTGATAAAATGCTCTGGCTTTCCTTTTAAAAGCTATCCCAGAAGGGTTAAGTAATACAACTTGGGTCTGTTTTATTTCTTAGCCTCTATTGCTGCAATAGAAGAGTTTCCTGCAGTTTCTTACACAGAATTTTCATACTTAATTGCTATGAAAAATGCAATATAATTTTAAAGAGGATGTATGTTTCTTTATTGTATTCTTTTTGTGGTTAGTATATTTTACCAGCTGTTGGAACTGTGTTTGCAGAATAGCACTGATATTTTTATTACTACTGAAAAGTCAAGTAGAAGGTGAGATAGTTGTGTTGTTGGGATGTGTTGATCTCAGGATCTGATGATGCTGTAATGAGCACAGAGATTTACATCATACATGCTCAGAAAGTGTTTGACTATACCTTAGGTATTCACAACATCTCTTAGTCAAATGAGTCCCATTGAAGTTACTCATCTATACTTGTGGAACCATATGCTTAAAGTAATCTGGACAGAGTTGTTTTTGCCTCAGCTTCACTAAGAATCCAGATAAAGCACACATCCAGCTTATTCACACTCTCATGTGAATACAATCCATCACAGTGAGTGACAGAGCAGTTCCAGCAGAATAAAAACATTGTTTGCATTTAGTTGGAACTATTTGCCTGTGAATGTTCAGTACATGTTTCGTGTCAGATTGGTTCAGTTAGTGACCTGCTGTTTTTCTTGGGTCTTCTGAGTGAAGAAAATAGCATGTATTCGTTTTAAAGGAAAGAGTTGTTGTTAGCCATGATTTAATTGGAGAGCGATTCTGGAATCAGAATCTTTTGTTTTTAGTAGGCATATTTTCCATTGGATTAAAAGATCAATATATAAAACCTGCATTAGTCTAGCATAGGAGAGGAATAATACTTCATCTGTGGTCTTCAGTGTGTCATTTGACATATCTAGTGATTGCCAGATTTAAGCTGTTTTAGGGGACAGTACCACCACATCAGCTGATTCACTGTGGTTTACTTCAGTACTGCACTGTGTGTGAAGCCTTGCAGGCTAGTTTCCAGTCTTCTGAAATTACTTTGGCAAATAACAAATGTTTTCTGAGTGAGATCATATTTGTAGTGTTGCTGGGCTCTTTATACTTAGAAATAATGTAAACTCCTGTTCTAATTCTTTCTGACAAGTGGATTTGTAAGAAATAAGAAATTCTGTAGCTACTGATGTATGCTGGTGTAGAGTGCAATATGCTGTTCCTGGGCAGAACAAATTATTTATGTCTCACTTTTGGACGTACAAATTCTTTTAAATTTTTCACAAAAAAAAAAATAATCAGCCGGTAGAACAAAGTGTAATATCTAACTTTACCTTCAGCGTTTCTGTAAAGGCGGGAAAACTCAGAACAGATCCATAATAGTCTTTGATCAAAATAGGAGTGATTTTGAGTATTGGGTCATAAGTACTTGGGGAAAAAAGCGTGTTGAGGCATCACAGGAGCTTCTCTGGACTGTGAAGATGAACTCATTAAGTGAAGGTGAAATAAGTTGTTTCTTTGGTGCTCATATTTATAAGAGAAGTAAAGAAAAAACCGATTCACACCACCGCCGCCCACTCTCCCCAAAACAATAGGATTTTTACTTTGCATAACACAATCCAAACGTTTTACTAAGGCTTTCTCCATAGACTTCTTCCATTTATCCTGACTTGTGGGTATAACTGAAACTTAATGTTCACATAATCTTATCTGACAGGGATAAGTTATTCCAAATTTGAATGACTAATTGTGCTGATAAATAAAAAGATTATTGTTACTTCTGCTGGCAGGAATATGGTCTTTTATTTAGGATCTTCTTTAAAAGCCTACCTACCTTCTTATGGGAGCTGATCAGTACTTCCTGCCATATCCTCTAAATGGTGTTGATCTCCCATGTTTAAGCATCTGTGGTTTCCCTGTTTTGAGTAAAACTAGGTACAAAACCAGGGGTGAAAACTCTAAGCTGGAAGGAAAGGAAGAGACAACTTACACATCCAAAAATACAGATAGTTGTTCTGTGATATATGTTAAAGTGTTTTTGTAGCACTGTTCTTAAAGCTTACTTTGAAAGAAATTTACATATGTAAACTACACTTCTGTACAGATTTAAGGGAAAAAATTTGAAATATCTAAATATTGTTAGGTATTAAAGTTAGCAGTAAGATCTTCTTGTTTTATTGGATGACCCAAATACTTCTGGAACAGCATGGTACTGTTGACAACTGAAATCTGCTTGTTTTGTAGCTTGACTCAAAGCCAGCATGTGAAACTGTGTTTATGTTATAGGGAACAGTGAGGAGATGAACTTGGGACCTGTAGGTAGATTTGGTATGAAAAAGTTGTTTAAGTTGAGATGAGATGCCTTAACACAGGGAAAGTAGTGTAAACGCTTATCTTTGGGGTGCTGCTTTCCAGCACTGTACTTGTCAAATTTCATTGCCCTTCTTATCTCTGAGAAGTATTGCAGCAACAAAGGATTCCACCCACCCCCCTTCTCACTGCTCTAAATTAAGGGAACACAATATCTGCTTTAAGAGCAACTGTATCTTTACCAAGCTTGC